GCAGACTGGGAGGTGAGAAACCAGCTACACAGAAAACCCTCAAGAGCTGGCTGGAAGCTACCAGAACTGCAGGCTGTGGGGTGTATCAGTAACAAATCCATTGCATTTCTCTCCTTCCTCCCTTTGGAGGTAGGAATCGCTAGGGAGCCCATACTGGCCTTGACCTCATTAGCTTCATGCCTCAGCTTCCAGTGCTGGACACGGACAGGCATGTGCCGCCTGGCTTCAAATGGCCTGTTAAGTATTTCAGAATTCCAACTAAGGAGTGCTCAACTGATCCAGCATATGTAAACACTGAAAAGACCAAGAAACTCTGAAATCGGTCACATTCTTCTCTATTTAAAAAGGTTTATTTCTACTCCATGAGTGTTTTGCCTGTAGCATGTGTGTGCCTGGTAAACAAGGAGGTCAGAAGCATTTTGGGTCCCCTGGAACTGGAGTTAACAGCAGCTATGAGGCACCATATGGGTGGGTGCAAACAGACCCCAGTCCTCTCTAAGTCTTAACCCTGAGCTGATTCTCCAGCCACTGTCTCATTCTCTGTTTCGTTTTTTAAAAAAGCAAAGTTGTGTGTGTGTGTGTGTGTGTGTGTGTGTGTGTGTGTGTGTGTACGTACAATGTTTGGGAGTTACTGCTTCTCTTCCACCTCACTTGAGGAAGAACCTCCCATTTCTTTAGCTTTGCTAAGTAAGTACCCCATGCTAGCTGGCCCATGGGTTTCTAGGAGATTCTCCTGTCTCTATGGCCCATCTCACCACAGGAGTGGTGGATTACAGATGCATGTTACATTTGGCCTTTTATGGAGGATCGGGGATGTAGACTCAGGTCAGTCTTGTGCCTCCTGCCTGGGTCCAGAGTGCATACCACTGTGCCTGGTACCAAGCATTTCAGTTAAGGGATTGTCAACCTCAATGGAGCTTTGGTAACAAATCCACGGTGATTATTGGTGAATGATACACACCAACCAATGGCTTAGACCAGAGAATCCAGAAAATAAATCAAACAAACAACCAACAACAAACCACACATAGGGGCTGGAGATGACTCAGTGGTTAAGAGCCTTCGCGGCTTTTCCAGAAGCCAAGCTCAGTTCACAGCACCTGTGTTAGGTGAGCCACAACTATCTGTAACTCTAGCTAGCCTCCAAGGGCCCCTGCATACATATGACATACACTACATCTTAACAAAAGAATGAAAACGCACACAAAACCTCACATATGCACAGCCAGTTGACTTTGCAAGAGCAACCCCACTGAGGAAGGACAGTTTCCAATAGCAGACAGCAGACAACTGGCTATCCATAAGTATAAAACAGATCCTGACCTATCCAGCAAACCAACAAACGGACTTGGGCCATGGTGCACACACCAGCAATCCTAGCATTTGGGAGCCCAACTTTGAGGCCAAACTGGCCTATATACTAAGTTCAGGGTTACAGAGTGAGAACTTGCCTTAAAAAAACAAAAACCAGGCCTGGAGATGAGGCTCAACTCATAGAGTGCTTTCCCACCATGCAAGAAGCCCAGACTCGGCCGGGCGGTGGTGGCGCACGCCTTTAATCCCAGCACTCGGGAGGCAGAGGCAGGCGGATCTTTGTGAGTTCGAGGCCAGCCTGGTCTACAAAGCGAGATCCAGGAAAGGCGCAAAGCTACACAGAGAAACCCTGTCTTGAAAAACCAAAAAAAAAAAAAGAAGCCCAGACTCCTTCCTCAGCACTACAGAAATGGAGTCACGTGTGCAATCCTAGCACTCACAAGGCAGGAGGATCAGAAGTTCAAGGTCGTGCTCACCAACATAGCAAGTCTGAGGTTAGCTTGGGTTATAGGAGACTACCTACGAACGTGAGTGAGTGAGTGAGTGAGTGAGTGAGTGAGTGAGTGTGTGTGTGTATGAGAGAAATTTTATTAGAATTAAAATATCTCACTGGGTGGTGGTGGCAGCACTCAGGAGGCAGAGACAGGAGGATCTCTGCAAGTTCGAGGCCAGCCTGGTCTACAGAGCAAGTTTCAGGACAGCCAGGACTACAGGGAGAAACCCTGTCTCAAAACAAAACAACAATAACAAAAATAAATAAATTAATTAAAAAAAAGAAGAAAAGAAAGAAAATGAAAAGCCAGCCAGGCTTAATGCCACATGCCTTTAATCCAGCACTTGGAGGCAGAGGCAGACCCATTTCTTGAGGTTGAGGCCAGCAAGTTCCAGGACAGCCAGGGCTATATAGAGCAACCTTATCTCAATTAAAAAGAACCCAAAGTGGGGTGTGGGGGTGTGGGGGTGGCTGAAGAGACGGCTCAGCAGTTAAGAGCAGGACTGGCCACTCTTCCAAAGGACCCGGGTTCAATTCCCAGCACCCACGTGGCAGTTCACAGCTGTAACTCCAGTTCCAGGGCATCTGACATCCTCAAACAGACACACATGCAGGCAAACCCCTAATGGACGCTAAACAAACAAATCTTTTAATAAGAAAGGGAAAATGAAAGGTGAGGTATGTGCTGAAAGGAGACATCTGCTAACATCTGGCAAGGGAGCCAATGTGGGAAGGCAGAGTGAACCTCACCATCTGTGATGAAGACGACCCGACAACAAAAGAGGACAAAGCTGGGCACGGGGATTCCTGCGTTAGTCCCAGTACGGCCAGGAGAGGCCAGGACCTCTGGAGTGCGAGGCCACAGGGCCTGTATCGGTTCCAGGTTAGCCAGAGCTACAGTGAGCTCTGTCTCAAAGCAAAACACACACACCCCACCACAAATGACCTGAGCTGACCTGACACTGCCCAGGTCTGTGGGCAGCAATTAACCAGCATGGAAAGACCACTTCATTAGTCACTACCTGGGAAAGTACAAATTAAACCTGCAGTGCCCCATCCCACTACTGAGCTATTACTACAACAAACAAAAACTGACGATACCCAGTGCTTGCCACGGCGGGAGCCACCGTAGAAACATGAGCGTGAAGCAGTACCATGCTCTGGAAAGCAGGCTGGCTGTTTAAAAAAAGAGGGTTGGGGGCTGGAGACATGGCTCAGCAGTTGGTAGCACTGGCTGCTCTTCCAGGGGACCTGGGTTTAATTCCCAGCACCCACATGGCAGCTCACAGCTGCCTGTAACTCCAGTTCCAGGGGATCCGACACCGCCACACAGACATACATACAGGCAAAACACCAATGAACATAAAAATTTAAAAAAGAGGATCTGTATCCACAAAAACGCTAGGCACAAATGTTCAGTGCTGCTTACTGGGAAGAGTCACGTGGGAACAACTTAGATGTTCTTCAATGGGTAAGTGAGCTGTGTACCTGTGCAGCCGACCACTGAGCAATAAGAAGGGATGAACGGGACCCGGGGGTGGGGGTCACTCAGTGACAGAGGACTTGCCTAATGTGTATGGCCTTGGGTTTGATCCCCAGCAGCAGAAAGCAAGAGAGGAATAAGAAAGAAAAGAGAATGAACAGACACACCACACAACATGGATGAATCTAAAAGCATGTTGTTTAGTGAACGGCAGCTACCTCAGTGGCTGCCACATTGCACAGTGAAGGGCTGAACACAACTTGGGCTTCTATTCGCTGCTCAGAAGGTGTCTGGGCATTCAAGTTTTTGGATGACTGGAGAGAGAGGACATGTGTTTTTAATGACAGGAGTCCTGGAATTTATCTATGTGCTAAAAGAAGAATGAGGGGGCAAGAACAGTCCCCAGGGGCTGGAGAGATGGCTCAGAGGTTAAGAGCACTGGCTGCTCTTCCAGAGGTCCTGAGTTCAATTCCCAGCAACCACATGGTGGCTCACAACCATCTGTAATGAGATCTGGTGCCCTCTTCTGGCCTTCAGGCATATGTGTGGGTAGAACATTGCATGCATAATAAATAAATAAATCTTAAAAACAAAACAAAAAAAAAACAAAACCAGTCCCCAGCAGGGCTCACAGCAGGGACAGCTCTGACGTGGCTGAGTAGGACGTGGCTGAGTAGGACGAGAAGAATGGATGGTGGGTGGAGAGATTGGATGTCCTTAACGCAGGCCCTCAGGGCCTCTGCACCTGCTCCTCAGCTGTCCTCCCAGGCTTCTGCAACAGGGATGGCACAGCTGTGCAGACAGCGTGGGCTGGCCCTCGAGGGACAGCCTGCAGCTGCCACCCCCTGGTATGTGATTCCAGAACAGGAGCAGAGCTCACCACGGCTGCTCTGGGTAATTGAGGCCAGACAGTCTTCCCAGGCCCTGGGCAGCGCTCACTCCAACCTCTTCCCCGGGCACCTGGGAGCTCCAGGGTTTGGGATTCACTGGAGACCTGGTCCCAGCCTCTCTGTCCAAGTGTGTGACCATGCCATACCTGCTTGGAGTAGATCCTCAGGAGCTTGTTGACAGGTGTGCCCTCACTGTCACCATCAAACTCCAGCCACAGGACAGGCTCCTCCTCCTCGGGGGATGTGTGGTCCCATGACAGCTCCTGAAAGCGCAGACCCAGCAGCACATGCTGGGCAGCGGGAAACAAAGGACAGGTTAACCTTCTACTCCCCATCAGTCCCCATCAGCCTCCTGAAGGGGACCCTTCCCCAGTGCGCTTGCCTCTCCGTACTGATTTATTTTCCTGAGAGAGGGTCTCACTATGGAGCCCAGGCTAGCCTCAGGCTCACGGGGATCTGCCTGCCCCTGCCTCTTCCTCCGTCTGCTGGGATTAAGGGATATTTATCGTGCCTGTTTGTGACACTGAGCACTAAACTCAGAGCCATATGTATCCAAGGCAAGAATCCTACCAATGATTAGAGCCCCAAACCTCCACGCTAAGTCTGCAGCCCTTCCTGTACGAGGCCAGGAATGCATACTCTTCAGTGCGTCCCTCCAGCAGGTCAGGCCCCTCAGTCCGGGAATAGCCAGCTCAAGGGCTTTGCCCTGAGAACAGCAGCTAGGATGGGCATGCCAGGGACAGGTGCAGGCATCTGCTGTACAAGGAGGGCCGAGACACCACTGTTTACACGGTGAGCCGGAGGTAAGGCAGATACCAAATCAGGGAGCTCTTGGCCAGCCCAGGGAGCTCCCAGCAGGAGTCTGTGGGAAATGATCAGCCAGTCTCCACCACTGGCCAGGAGCAGCAGCAAGGTGCTGCCAGATACTACCCACTCAGAGTCAGAATCCCAGTTGCCACCCCTCTGCATGGCTCAGACAGACTCAAAGAAGGTCCCAGAATGCATGAGCATGACTCCAGGGACATCAGAGGGAGGCAGAGTCCCCTACACAGTCTACTCAATACTGTTCCCAGGATGCCTGCAATCAAGAAGACATGGACAAGACCCCCACTCCCTTCTGGCCCACCAAGGACAATTCAGTCCCACCCCGAGGAGCTGGACGGAGGTGGTACCTTCTCCTTGCTGTCGATGACATGCACACCCTCCAGACTGATGGCCACGGTAACTGGTTTGCGCCCGCCCCGATGCAAAAAGCCCTGGGCCGGCTTGTCGATCTCACCATGGAAGAAGGCACACCTGGAGAGGGCACCAGAGTCAGCTGCCCCTCCAGCACCCAGCACACCCGGGAGGACTACGCTGGGACCCAGACGCTTAAGCTATGTGGGTGACCGAAGGGTAAACAGAAGTCTGTCTTGGTGGTGGGGGACAGAAACAGGAAGGAACAGGGAGGTATCGGAGGTGCTAACACCTGACTGGCTATGTAGGACTGGATTGAGCAGGCAGGAGGACCTGGGTAACATGGCACTGGGTGGGCGCTGTGGGCGGAAGGAAGCACACACCCAGGAAAGTGCACAGCCAGCTGCATCAGGGACCCCTCGGAGCCTGGGAGCCTCAGGTGGGGTAAGGTTGAGCCTGCTGCACTGACCATGGCAAAAGTCCTTCAGCAGCAGGGACCTGCTGGGGCACTCAGGAGGGAGGGCTGCCTAGGACAGTGGCGTCTGGACCTAACGCTGAAGGGAAAAGCGAGGTGGCTTCAGGGTGGCAAGACACCCAGCTGCCGTCTCCTCTCCAGCAGGCCGCGATCTCACCCACTCTGAGGCTCACCCTTGCCTCTTGCACTCGCCTAAGCCACAGCCCAAGCCAAAGCAGGAGGGGACGAGAGGTGAGTGCACGCCCCTCTTCTGGAGAATTCTACACCCCGCCTCAGCTTAGGCTCAGCTGAGGAGGAAACCAAAGCTGTCATAGACCCCCACTCCCATGAACTTTTCACACTCCTGGATCGCCCAGTAGTGAGTATATGTGTGCGCGTGTACACACACACACACACACACAGTCACCTCATCCATTATAAAAACCAGTAAATCCTTTGTCCTTGCCATGCCCACATCTCCTGCTCCACTGTCCAGTAAAATGCCATAAAAGCTAGGCACACTCGCTGCTTGTTTGTTTTCTTTTTTTTTTTTTTTTTTGGTTTTTCGAGACAGGGTTTCTCTTGTGTAGCTTT